TGTACGTGGTGCGTACCACAAGGTACACTTAGCGTACAAGCTGTAAAGCAAGTATACGAGTGTACCAAGGAGTAAGTTTAGTGTACTCATGCAAGGGTTAGATCGTGGATCCGGAGGTGTACGTTAGGCATACAAAAGAGTACGAGGGGGTACATAAGGATTTCGAAAATCCTAATTTCTGAGTTTGGCTGATATATATTCATCCTTATAGACTAGAAACCCTCATTTATTCATCCTCCTTGCCCTCCCAACCCTATACTCAAAACTCTAACTCCATAGTTGAATGTTCTTGAGCTTAGAAGGCCTTTTGGGTGCATTTCTAGTGTTTTGAAGGAAAAATATCATCTTGGAGCTTCATTGGTAGAGTCGGAGCTTATAGATCCAGGTTATCTTCATCATTTGGTATTCATTTCAGGTATAAAGCTCTGGACTTGCTGTGTTATAGCTTATATCTCCTTTGTTTGAGTTTTGGAACCATTTTGGTTCCATAGATGAGATCTTGTGGGTTATTAATATTTATGAAGCTTAGAGTTTCTAGTCTTGGTCTTCTTTTGGTCGTAGAGTCATAAAGTTGTCATCTTTGAACCTTAGAACCATCCATGGATGAGTTATGTCCCTTGTATTAATAATAGAATGTTATAATTCGAAGTTAGGATCTTTTGGGGCATGCAAAGTCAACAAGTCAGTGAGTTTATAATTCTAGATACTCTTTGGGACTTAGAGTTATGTTTTAGACTGTTAGACTTCAGCATTAAGAGCTTAATGAAAGAAATGGCTTAATGAGTGTAGCACCTAGTCCCCAGTACGTACTCCTTGATATTTATTTTCTTTATATATATATATATATATATATATATATATATATTGCCTTGGACTCGGCAAGTTGATGGGCCAACTCGCCGAGTAGGAGTAGGTCAAGGAGCGGGATTTGGACTCTGGACTCGGCGAGTAGGCCTTGGTTGGGCAAAAACCCAAATCCGGTTGTTTACACCCTATTTAAACACTCTATCTTGGCCTCCTTTATCCTAACACTTCCATAGAGCATTAGAGTGAGACCCTAGCCCCCTTATTGATCTAGAGAGAGTTTTTTTTGGCCTTGTGAAGGAGATTGGAGCTTAAAAGGAGAAAGTGGTGGTTGAAGAGTGCAAGGAAAGGAATAGATTCGAACGCTACGCAGGGAGAAGCTTCCATTCAGGTAGAAAAGTCTCTACCTTGATCTTTAGATCATTAGTTGCCATTTTTGTCCCAAATTGGTAGTTTCAAGCCCTAGATCACCAAACTCCATGTGTGGTGCTTAATGATCCGAAAGGACTTCTGATCTGGACTTATTGGATGAAGTAGTAGCATAAAGTTCCTGTGGTTGAAGTGATTAAGGTCCCCATTGAGTCTATAACCTCTTGAAGAGCTTGGTTTTGGCCTTTTTAGCTTATAGGGTCATGCATGCACGTAAAGTTTGCAACTTTACGTGATAAGCATGCTCAAGGGACATGGATCTATGGTTTTGAAGCGTTGAATGTCTCAGATTTGGCCTATATGGGAAATGGTTCATAGGGACTCGGCGAGTCCCAAGGAGGAACTCGGCGAGTTCCATGAAGATGGCCTTAGACTCGGCGAGTTGGATGAACAACTCGGCGACTCCAATGAGGATTGCCTGGAACTCGGTGAGTTGTTCTTCAAACTCGGTGAGTCGGGTCACGAGTCAGTTCAGTCGTCCCAAGTCATGAATGAAGAGTGATTCAGTGAGTGGAAAGAAGGTCTGGTTGGGTAGGACCGGGTTACTAGGGAAAGGACTCGGCGAGTCCAGTCAAACGGGCATTGACTTTGACCAAGGGGTTGACCCTGGGCCAAGGGAGGGTCAGTCTTTTGACCTAATGTTATTTATGGGTGTCTAACCTATGTTTATGGTTTATAGCCGGAGGATTTACGATCTAGCAGTTAGACGCTCAGCAAGCAGATTTCAGCAGCTACTTTCGAGGTGAGTTACCTTCCAGTAGCGGTGGGTCTAAGGCCACAATGCCGGCCCACCAGTAGGAGATGTATGATAGATTATTGTCTTTGTGATATCATCTAGGTTTGCTACTACCTGATATGTTATATGCTAGCATGATATGTTGTATGTGATAGTAGTAGTGTTCGGTTGTTAGGACCGAAGGGTAGTCAAACACCCCAGATATGTCTGATAGTATGTGATTATATGTTTGCATGCTGGCTTGTTATATTATGATATATGATAGTAGCAGTAAGGGGTGAAATAGTCCCCGAGGTTCGGTCGTTAGGACTGAAGGGTAGTCAACACCCCATAATGGCTTGACATGGGTAGTCAGCACCCTAGAATGGCTTGACACGGGTAGGTCGGCACCCCAGAATGGTCGTACCGGGTAGGTAGGGCACCCCAGAAATGCCTGGCAATATGTATGATACGTGATTGTATGGTATGTGGTATGATGGGGGGAACTCACTAAGCTTCGTGCTTACAGTTTTCAGTTTTGGTTTCAGGTACCTCTTCTTCGAAAGGGAAAGAGCTGGCGCGGTAGCAGCCCATCACACACATGCTTCGTATTCCGCATCGCGAGATCTTCCTGGGAAATTATACTCTGACATTATTATGTTTTTATGAAATGTTTTCCATACATGTGATATTTTTATAAAATGTTATGATCAGTAAACGTTTTAATTCGAATGCTTGCTAAATATATGTTTTTAAAAATGAAATTTTTGGCTCGTATTTTTGGGACGTTACAATGAGGTAGTACGGTGGGTGTATAAGCTAGTACGTGTAGCATACAAGCCATGCAGCGTGTACACTTCGCGTACAGGTGAGTACGCCGCGAGTACTCAGTCAGTTTGGGTTTCGCACCTTTTTGGGCCTTGGTTGGGCCACTTCTTTGGACCTTGTTACTTTGGGCCTTTTTTAGGCCATCTGAAATCAAGTTTTTGGGCTATGGAAAATTTAGTGGGCTTTAGGGTAAGGCCCATATGAGGGTCAGGCCTAATTTGGAAAAACAGCCAGAAGTGGACCTTAGTGGATCAATTGGTTTTTGGGACTTTTTGGTTATTTAGGCCTTAATTTTGGTTCAAGCTAAGCCAGGGGTATAATGGTCATTTTACCGTAAGTATGGATTATGGGCTATATATTGGAGCCTAAGTGTTAGTTGGGTGTTATTTTGTACCGATGGTTCGGGGAGTCATCAGGGCAATAGCTAGGGACTTCTTTTAGTGAGCTTCAGCATTCGAGGTGAGTTTCCTCAATGGGTTTAGCGGATCTAAGGCACTAATGTCGGCCTTTATTGATTATTCTAGGATTCTATGAATTTGCATGACCCTTGCATGTGTTATATGTTGTTTTATATATCGGGTAGGGATCAATGCCAGGTGAGCCCTGAGGACTGGAACATATGCTAGTGTTTATGATAATTATATGTGTTAGCATGATTATTTGACATACATTGTATGTCTATAGAGGATGAGGTCCAGCGACAGGCGAGGCCTAAGATTAACAGATTTGTATACCGGGCGGGGTTCGATGTTGGGTGGGGCCCGATGTCGGGTGAGGGGCCAGTATATGATTTATTATGTATGGGATGGGGTAGTTTAGGAAACTCACCAAACTTTGTGGTTACGGTTTTCATTTTATGTTTCAGGTACTTCCAATGGCAAGGGGTAGAGCTCAGGGTGACTGCATTATACACACACCACATGGATTCCGCATTTGATATTTCACTCTAATTTTATGATATTTGATACATTGGTTTTATTCACTACTAGGAAAACAGCCTTTTACGACGCTCATTGCGCGTCGTAAAAAGCTCAGACGACGCGCAAATGCGCGTCAAGGAAGGCCCTGTCATAAAGAGAGACGACGCGCATTTACGACGCGCAGTTATGACACGCAATGCGTATCAAGGAAGGCCCTGTCATAAAGGAAGACGTTACGCATTTGCGTGTCGTAACCTTACGACGCGCGTGTTTATGACACGCAATGCGTATCAAGGAAGCCCCTGTCATAAAGAAAGACGACACACAGGTTTGCGTGTCATAATTTTAAATGTTTTTAAAATTATATTTTTTTGATAGATTTACTAATTTTCAAATTAAATTACACATTAAAAGTCTCATAATACAAAATAAAATACATCAAGCAATAAAGATAATTCATTGCACTAATATGTCAAATACAAATAATCATTCCAATAGCAAGTAAATGTAACACATTGCTAATATTGCATAATATTTATTATAGGAAACAAAACATGTACAACATTAAAAGAAACCCATGACTAAATTCTCCTTTGACAAGAAGCACAGAGGAATGTTGGAACAGCAAGAAGCACATTGTTGCAAGCTGCCTGTAGAAAACCATGGCAGACATAAAGACATGAGCATAAGCTTTGTTGCTACTTTTATAAAAACTGAAGTTATTCTATAAGTTATAAGATGTAGTATAAATTTTTAACTTTTAAGCCTTCTATAGCTATAGAATAGAATTTGGAATCATTAAGAATACAATGAGGACTTTGTTGTTGGAAGAAGCCTAACCATTGCATAACATGTTGACTCAAAAAGGAAAATGTGGCAACTTTACCTGTACAAAGCTGGAGACAGAAAGAAGTGGCTTCTCTCCAATCTTCTGATTTCTAGCCTGAAAATTAACAAAGAATTTAGCAACTTGTAAGGAATCCTAGTACGACACTAAGTTAAGAACTTAAAAATTTAATTAAGATAACATGCAAATAATGAGAGCAGAATACCTAATAACGAAAATACACTTGTGTGCAAAACAAGAGCATAATCAACCTAATTTATCATGTCATTGAGATAAGACTAGAGAAAAGAACTAACGAAAGTACCCTTCTATGCAAAACAAGAGCAGAATTAACCTAATTTGTCACGTGTCACGGAGATAAAACTAGAGAGAAGAAATGACGAAAATAGCCTCAGAGCCCACATCAAAAGAAAAGGCATAGCAGAGAGGCTGAAAATCTGACCTTACAAAGAGAAGCCCTGCAGTAAGAACCAATCCTCCAACAAGCCATGAAACTTGTTCATTAATGGTTGTTGGAAGAGTTGTAAGAAGTTCTGAAACAAATGGCTCATTAGGTTTGGGAATCACAATTGAATTAAAGAATGTATAAAAATTAAAGAACTCGCCTAATAGAAAAGTAGGGTTCACATGTCAGATTGATGTTAAAGAAGATTAGGGTTCACATGTCTGAATGTTGCTTCTATATATGAATAACTGAAGCAGAAGATGAGTCACAGGTACCATGGAAGTTAAGTTCTACAAAGTGACCACCTCCTTCGCCTCTCGCCAGTCTTCCCGGATTCAAACACATACAGTTCACTTCGTCACCTCCTTCACTTGTGTGTGAGGTCTGAAGGAACAATGAGAATGTCTGGAACCTTTACAATATTCCTGTAAGTAATCTGCACCAAGCAGTGGGAGAAAAGGTTTGAATTGGATACACAGTTATTTTGAATTGTATACAAGTTTCGATCTATCATATGAAGTATGAACAATATGAAAAATAGGAAATGGAAGTTCGAAATCCTAACCAAAAATCCTACATATAATATTATGTCCTTCTGGTGCTTGTCCTCCTGACAACACAACTCCTATCTTCAAGGCCGATCCTGATTCATTAGATTCACCTGGTACCAATATTGCTGATGGTTGCCCAAACAGGGATGGGAAAAGTTTTGCAATTTCATCTGAAAGCATTACAACAAGCACAAATGAAGTCATAATCCTTCATCTTTACACTCAATCTATGCAGGTGATCAGATGTGTTTTCCAATTCTTTTATTTGATTTTGGATTATAAAAAACAAATCTCCAATTTGTTTTAGTACTGGTTCGTTTTTATAGGGGTTTCACTAGGTCTTTATGGTAAGCAGTTAACTTTAAAACTCAAAATGCAAAATTCGATCATAAAACCTAATTAACATCTACATACAATGTAATCAATTAACATAGCTAGAAAATACTTAAATTTTTGTTTATCCAATGCAACAGTGACTGAATTAGAAAGATTATTATCAATCCATCATTAAAAAAGTTCCGATCAGTTGTGATCTTAGCATAAATAGTTTTGCTCTTACAGGGGTCGTAAATTCACTTCAGTATCAATATGAAGTGAGAAATACCTGGATTTCTGGCAGCGGAGCTAGCGGGACCATCGACGATTTTGAAGGGGCTTCTAGAGCAAGCGACAAGCCCACAGGAGTGGGTACAGAGGATAAAAGCTGTTGTCACAAACGTAAAAATATTAAATTAAGAAAAAAGAAAAAAGAAAAATATTACTTGAATTTTGAAAACATCCCTGCGTTGACTCAGCAGATGGAATAAATCATCATAAGTCCTGTTTAAAGCTTCTTTCTTGATCTCGGGGTGCTCCGACTCAATGAAAGGCCCTAACTATTAATGAGTTAAATACAATGATTGTTAGTTTAGAGTGGTTTTGATTTTTGAATAGTTACAGGGTTAAAATTGTAAATTCTCACCAGTATAAGCAACTGAAGTTGTCAGTCGTGGTGTAAGGGCCTGAAGCAATAATTTGCTCAAAGATGAGATGTACGTAATCAGAGAGAAACCAGATAGTAAACTTAAAGGGGTACTTTAGTAAAATGAAGAACAAGCTTTACACACCAATGATAAATCTGATGTTATATCAGATAAATCAACAGGCTTGTTATCTTCATCCACAACTTTTGAGGAATATTTTCATCATCAGGGACTGATAACGGTACATAATCAACAATTTTTGTTGCAATTAAATAGTGCCCACTTGGATTATGTCCTTCAATACCTACCACTATCGAATTATGTTTATGTTAAATGTTTTTTTTGGTCAGTTTCCATTTTTTTAACTATCTACATGGCCTGGGAAAAGGGAAAACCAGTCCAGTTTCTGTAGGTCAAGGCACACACGTTGACCTCCAGAATGCTCAACACTGTTCAAACAAGTAACAAAGGACAACAGTAAGGGCAAAGATGTCTGAAAAGACCATAAAGATTCAACAAATATTACCTGCTTTGAAGCATGATTGGTTTTTCCTTTAAACGCATCTGACATCGATTCAGTCCGCACAAAAGAAAAAAAAAAATAGTATTAAGTTCCATAAACAAACAGTTAAATATACATCAAATCCAATGTGGTAGAGAAAATAAAGAGGAGATGAAAGGACAAGTGAAGTGGTAGAGAAAATAAAGTTGTGAAGTGGTAGTTAAGTTTTTTTTATGAGATGGAATTCATATTTGAAATGACCTAATTACGAAAATGCCCTTAGGATTTAAGTTTTTTTTAAGAGATGGAATTCATATTTGTTATGTGAGTAGTAACTTACTTCTGATGAAACACCGTGGGTCCCGTATTTGTCATCCCAATACATGGTGCTGATTCTGTATAGTTGTTGTATGTTAAGCACCTGCATAAATGACAAAAATGCACAATCTTGAATATAATAAAAGAGAAAAACGGAAATAAAATATTAACTGTCAAAATTCTAACTAAGCAGACTCCTTTTGTAACATGAATCTAAGCAGCCTCCTTTTATAACAACTAGAAAAACGTCTTCCTAAATACTAACTGTTAAAATAACTCTGAGATGCTTGGATCCAAGAAATTGTTATCTGGTTCCAAATCAGTTGATTGTCTTCAAGGAACTGATAAATAAAGAGGAGGAAGATGAATTTACCACAACCTGAGAAGTTCAATAGTTACTCCCATCCAGCATGTAATATACCTATAATAATATACATGTAATAAGTAAATAGATACACAACAACATTAATAAAACTTAATTTTGGCTTTATAGAAATCAACTTCAAATGAAGAATGATATGCTTATGTAATGAGGTTCAAGTGATATTATGGACAAGCCTTGAAAATTTTCATATAATTCATGTTTCATGGTTAGTTGGTTACATGTTCCATTGAATTTGGAATGAATAACAAATGTTATAAAAAGATGGAAAACCCAAATTCTCTCGGCCAAATAAATTAATTATGATAAACTTAAAAATTATGTTAAGGATGTAATACCTTGTTATACCAAAGAATGATGTGGTGTAAGGGTATTTATCATCAACTTCATTTGTACGGTTGTAAACAACATCCATGATTACCTGTACAGTTGAAATTCCTACATAATCTACAAAAAGTACTTACAACACTAATGACCTAATTAAATATATAATCAAGCTTCATTACAAGAAAAGTCAAAAACCTTGATTCCTGCAAGGTGAAAATCTTTAACCATTTCCTTGAACACCAAAGAAGCATTGATACGTCCACCACCACTCGCATAACAGTATACCCCACCTTGATGAACACTGAATAAAACTAAAATAATCATCTTACCCTTATTCCAAAACACAAATTTCTGATAACATAAATGCTACAATAATCGATTACCTGATTAGTAGGACTCGAGAGGGGATGAAAACAACCGATAATCGAAAGATTAATCGACCATCAGTGCTCGTTGAATTGTCGACGACGTTCCATTCTGCCGAGTGCCGACTATCATCTCCTTTGCATTTGGGGCCTGATTCATGAATGGAGTATTAAAAAAAATGGGCCCTTTACATAGGCCCATCTTGCCCATGTTTACGAACGGCCTTGTTCATACTAGAACCGCAGGAATAACATAGCCAAAGAAAGCACACCACTTTATCAGTCAAAATCGTGTGTTTTAAGAGACGAAAACGTACCGAATTCAAACTTGGTGGTAGGGTTTGCGAACAAGATCGAGTTGTTGGAGATTCTCCAAGGAATTTCAAACAGGAATAACACAACTAAAGAAAGCACACCATTTCCGGAATTTCATGAGATCGAATGTCAAAGTTCTTGAGCACTTTTGTGGAAATAAATAAGAAAAATTCATATTAATTCATATAAAAATGGTGAAAGATGAAAAATTATGAGTTCATAAACCTGAATAAAAATGATCGACGACGTATGGTGTTTTCAGGGCCCCACCCACCTATTCATCCTCTCCGAATAAGAGTTGAACCCGAAATCCACTTTCACTCAACCTGAAATCGGCTCCTTCAAAGGCATCGGTGGGAGGTATATGTTTTCCCTAGATACTGAACTCCCACCGGATTTCTTCCCAGACTTCTTGTTCTTCCGTGCGTCGACTTTCTTCTCTGTGCCACTCCGATAACGTAGACCTACCTGCGAGAGTCGGTCCACGAAAATTTCAGTCTCGGGTGATTTGGAGGTGGGACCATCGGTAGAGGAAGAACCATCGAGTGTTGCTTTCATTTTGAAGGAGAAGGTTAGGGGCAGTGGTGTGTGGGATCTGAGTGGGGACAGAGAGCTGTAAAGGGTGATGATGGATGAAGTGTTAGTCGATATGGCCGGTACATCATCGTCGTGCGGGCCTGAAGAGTCGGTGTGGGTTGGAGGTAGTGGAGGTGGGTGAGGGGCGGAGACGAAGGAGAGAAGATATTAGAGAAGAGATCGAAACGAATGTAGAAGAAAAGAGCGGGGTCTAAAATTTTTAGGGATTTCATTTTCCCTCTAAAGGAGAGACACGCGTTTCCTTAAAAATATAAAACGACATTCATAGTCAACGCACATTTTAGATAAAGTGTCCTCCATGTTTTTAGTTTTTTTACATGAGACACTAATTTAAGGGCACGCAATAATGCGTGACCTAAATCCTTAAATTTTTTGAAGAGATTACACTTTTTTAATGTCACTCTCTTTTGCGTAACATAAATCAATGAGCGTCGTGGTTTGCGCGTCGTAAAAGGGTCTTTTTCTTGTAGTGATTTGGGATGTATGGATAAGGATTGGAATACTACTTTATTTAATTTTTAAAAAAAATGAAATTGTTGGCCTATATTTTTGGGACGTTTAAAGTTGGTATTCAAAGCCTTGGTTTAAGGGATTTAGGCGCACTCTTAGGTGTGGCTAAACTCAAACTGAGGATTTGGTAAAGTTTTTCCTAAAGAAAAATATTTTTAAGAAAAAGGGTTTTCTAAATTAAGAAAGTGTGTAGTAAATGCAATCAGCCTAGCTCAAGTAAGTTTTCTGAATGTTACCCAAATATGTTATTTGGTATGCTTTGATCTGTGAATCTGTGAACCGCATGCTAGTTGGGGTTATGGATTTGCTCAGTTTTTGCTTGATATAATGCTAGGAGATATGCCTTTGTATGCCTATTGTATGATCTTGTAGACTAACATGATAGTACTAATCATTCAGTGATAGGATGGCCTGATTAAGTTATGCTTGGTTCTGATACTTTATGCTCTAATGCTTCTTGCTTTGTGATTTTAGGACTTCTAACTAGCTTCAGCTAACTAGTAAACGAATATGCTAAGTTACATATTATGGGAACTAAATAATTTTAGAAGGTTAGGTTTTAACTATATTGTGCAGCTCTTGTTTGAGTCCAACCATTGTAGTGTGAGACCTCTCATTCAAACAATTATCTATTTTTAGTAATATGTGATGGTATTCGTGAGCTAGTTAGAGGAAGTTAACGAGAGTTCCTTCTGCAACTGATAGTGGAGAGTGGTAGGGAATTTGCCCTTGGAAAACCTAGGATGATATCTAGTGTTGGGAGCTTTATCTATGAGGTAGGGTTATATGGATTTAGAGTAACATGTTTGAGTTAAGGAAATTCTTGAGGAAAGTATGTATAGATGTGGAAGGTAATATGGGCCCATACTACTCGAAGCAGAGGATCCATACGCGATTCAAGGAGAGTTGCGAAAAAATAAGGGAGCTTGTAGAGTTGTGATTCTTCCTATATATATATATATATATATATATATATATATATATATATATATATATATATATATATATATATATATATATATATGTGCGTGTGTGTGTGTGTGTATGTGTGTGTGTTTGTGTTCTGATGGTTTATGTGGTCTATTTATAGTATAGTGGTATTGGAAGGCAAACCTATCGGAAGTTCTGGTGTCGCGGAGGGTTCAGGCTCAGGATATGGAGATGGGCATCTCAATAAGCATACTAGGGAGTTTTTCTCGCTAGAGATTACTCGTAGCATTATTAATCAGATGCATATGATCTTTGGCTTGGTCAAGGAGGATATCCTGGAGGTTTTGGAGGAGCTATTGAGCTTTTTTTTTTATTTTTTATATTATGGAATTAGCAGGAGCTCGACATTTGACATTCAGGGAGTTCCGGGCTTGAGGAGCTCCAGATTATCATAAGGTGAAGGACCTCATTGCAAGCAGGCGTTCGTTAGTGAATGTTGCTAACACTTTCATCACCAATCGTTGTCATGAGGGGGACAAGGTCAGATTAGCTTCTTTCCTTTTGAAGGACAGAGCGCAAGACTGGAGGGAGGAGATAGGTCGTCTACTGGGTTATGATGTGGTTGATATGATGACATGGGATACTTTCCTTCCTCGATGTTGAGCTGAGTTTGCACCAGTGATCCAGGTGCAACAGTTGGCGCGAGTGTTCCAAGATCTCCGCCAGACTGCAGAGATGGTGGTTGAGATCACCGTGATGTTTAGGGAGAGGGAACTTCAAGTTCCACAGTATGTGTCATATGAGAGGATGAAGAAGGCCTAATATCATGAAATGCTGAGGAGCGACATTCGACAGTTTGTGAGCTGATCCAGCTGCAAGATGTTGGAGGATATGATAGCTTAAGTTAGGGAGAGGGAGATTGACCTGGAGATGGAGAGGAAGACGAAGCTAGATGAGGTTCAGATATTAGGGGGTTCGGGCAAGAGGCCCAAGGTATCAGATCTAAATCGAGGGGCCATCAGTGTCGTAGCCGTTGTGGCAAGTGCGACAGGACACATGAGGGACCGTGCAGGAGTGGCAGTGGTGGTGGTTCTGGTTGCTTCAATTGCAGTCGGACGAGTCATTATAGTAGGGATTGTATTGCTACCACCACCCAAGGATCAGACCTAATTTTATTTCGTTGCAATCAAAGGGTCATAAGAAGGCCCAATGTCCGAGTTTCACTATACCAGGACCAGTGTCATCACCCACTCCTACGACTCTTTGGATTACTTATGGCCACCAGGGTCGGGCGGATGCGCCTGTAGCAAAGAGGAGGGCTTTCCAGTACACGACAAAGGAGGCATGTGCAGCTCCTGATGTTGTGGCGGGTATGTATCTTCTTATTATCTCCTTATTTATATTGAATTGATTTATTATGCTTATGTGTTTCATTTTAGGATCGTTCCTTGTGAACAATATCTCTACTTTGGTATTATTTGATTTGGGGGTTACCCGATCCTTTGTATTGCTTGCGCTTGGCAAGAGATTTGTTGGAGCTCCGAGGGAGCTGGTTAGTTCTCTTAATGTTGAGATCGCCGATGATAGAACAATTTGGGTTGCGAGGATTCATCAGGGTTCTACTCTTCAATTATTCAGCAAGTAGTATCTGGTCGACTTGGTTCCTATTCCTTTGCATGGGAACAAAGTTATCGTGGGCATGGATTGGTTGAGCCCTGATAGGGCAGTGATCAACTATGATTAGCGGTTAGTTCGGGTTCGGACCCCAAGTGGGGGAGAGTTGGTGATTCATGGTGAGGGACCGTAGCATGGACCGATTATGTTTTTTACAGCGAGAGACAAATTCTATCTTCATTAGGGTTGTTTGGGTTTTGTCGCGTATGTCATGGATACCCGGGATAAGCGTAAGGCGACAATGGATGATGTACCAATTATGCGGGATTATTCGGACGTGTTACCAGAGGATTTTCCCGGGATACCTCTAGAGAGGCAGGTGGAGTTCAGGATTGATCTGTTTCTAGGTGCGCTTCGATAGCCAAAGCACCGTATCGGTTCACTCCTCTCTAGATGTAGAAGTAGTTTACACAGGTCCAGGAGTTGTTCGACAATGGATTAATTAGACCGAGCAGTTCGCCTTGGGGAGCACTAATTCTATTTGTGAAGAAGAAGGGCGAGTATCATCGTATGTGTGTCAACTACCGGGAGTTGAATAAGGAACAGTGAAGAACCGTTATCCCCTCCCGATGATTGATGATGTTTTCGACCAGCTTCAGGTTGCATATTCGTTCTCCAAGATTAATTTGTGATCGGTTTATGATCATATGCGGGTTAGGAATGAGGATGTGCAGAAGACAGCTTTCCAGACTCAATATGGTCATTTTGAGTTCGCGGTGATGCCTTTTGGGCTCACCAATACTCCATTCGTGTTCCTGGATCTTATGAACCGCATGTGCAAACCGATGTTTGACCAGTCTATGATAGTATTTATTGATGATATCTTTATTTATTCCAAGAATCAGGAGCAACATGAGAAGCACCTAAGTGAGGTGCTGCAGACATTTAGGAGGGAGAGACTTTTCACAAATTTATCCAAGTATGAGTTATGGTTAGCGAGGTGCAGTTTCTGGGGCATCTTGTCAACCAGAAGTGTATTATGGTCGATCCGGCCAAGGTTGAGGCCATGATGCAGTGGAAGGTTCCGAGGTCTCTATTTGAGATTCGGAGTTTCTTGATCTGGCTAGTTATTATCAGAGATTCATCCAACATTTCTCCAAAATCGTTGTTCCATTGACCCGACTGACCAAGAAGTCGGTGAAATATCCTTGGGGGCCTGAGTACCAGACAGATTTTGAGGCTCTTAGATAGCGGTTATGTGAGGCGCCTATTTTAACCCTGCCTAAGGGTGCTGATGACTTTGTGGTTTCTTGTGATGCTTCGATATCCAATCTGGGGGCAGTAATTATGCAGCGAGGTCGTGTGATTGCTTACCGTTCGAGGAAGCTGATGCCACATGAGGAAAATTATCCGATGCATGATTTGGAGTTGGGGGCCATGGTTTTTACCCTCAATATTTAGCAGCATTACCTCTATATGGTTCGTTGTACTATTTACACAGATCACAAGAGCTTGAGGTATCTGATGGATCAGCTGAATCTGAACATGAAGTAGTGTCGATGGTTAGATATGGTGAAGGATTATGATTGTGAGATCCTTTATCACTCGGGGAAGGCCAATGTGGTGACCGATTCTCTCAGCCACAAGGTGATCACGACTCCCATCAGAGATATATGTTTGAGGATAACCATGATTACTCCATTTTTGTAGCGGATTCATTAGGCTCAAGCAGAGGCTATGAAGGAAGAGCACCGGAAGAGTGAGCACATTATGGGTTAGGTGGCTTCCTTCGATTATGACAGCCGTGGATTGTTGACTCTACATCGACGAGTCTGGGTTCCTTATTGGGCTGGTGTGCATCATATTCTTATGGAGGAGGCCCATAAGTCGAGGTTCTCCATTCATCC